TTAATTACCTCCTCCGCCCGCCAATTATTTCTTTCCTGATCCGGTTATTCCCGCCAGAGTTGGAGAACGGCTCTCCCGGGAATTCATTATTATTATTTTTTTTTAAAGGAAATTTGAAAAGCTGAACAAATCTACAGCGTGCAGGGGGAGGGCGGCGGGCTTATGTCACAGGCCGGAGCCCATATCTACGGAGAGAAGGGCAATCCTGGTAATTGCAGGAGGAACCTGAGGGTGGAGGGGACTGATGGTGGAGCGTAGCAGATCCGACAACTGCCAGGTGTACCAGAGGCTGCATGGAGGCAGGGGAGTCCACATGCACGTAGGGGCGCACTTGGTGATCAGGGAGCGCACGGGGGGTAGGTGAAAGCTGCTCTCAGCTTAAGGCTAGGTTCACACCACATGCAGTGCGTTCCGGCCCGATTCTGGCCAAAACGCACTGCATCGCATTGCGGCCAGCTCACTTTTTTATGGGGCAGGAGCGGGCGTGGCGGGCCATTGAAGTGAATGGCACCGTAGCCACGCTCCCCCAGGCCGCAATGCGATCGGCCTCACTGAATCGCAAGGCACATCGTGCCCGTGGCCCGGTCCAGTGCGGTGCGATAAAAATAGTGCTTGCAGCATTTTGATCGCACGGACCGCAGGCACAATGTGCCCTGCGATCCCGTGCGGCCGATCGCACTGCAGGTGAGGGGCGTGGCTATGTTGCCATTCACTTCCATGGCCCGCCACGCCACCAAAAAAAGTGAGCCGGCCGCAATGCGATGCAGTGCATTCTGGCCAGAATCGGGCCGGAACGCACTGCATCTGGTGTGAACGCAGGGACGGATTACCCACAGGGCCAACCAAGGCCCGGCCTTTGGGTCAGCACGGACTAGAGGGGCAGCAGGGGTGTGCAATTCCTATCTCCTGATGCCCGGGACATGCAGTTCTGGGCGCCGGGCGGGTAGTTGTTTTCTACATTTAGCCCTGCTTTCGGCAAGCAGGGCTGAATGTACAGCGGGGAAGCCGCCACTTGTTTTGTACAAGTGATGTCGCCAAGATCACTTGTATGCAGCATGCAGGTCTGCCATATTCTCCATATGGGGGGGGGGTTGGCGGGTAGAGGGGCGCATTGAGGATCATGGCCTTGGGGAAGCAGAGAGAGTAAATCCGGCCCCGTGTGAACCTGTGAACCTAGCCTAAGTGTTCAGAAAAGCTCCACCTTTTGTCATTAAAAAGCCATCCTTGAGACTTTGCCTAGACTGACGATGTCATCAGATTGCTGCAGGCAAGAGGAAGCATTTCCTCAGTCTCCCCCCCCCCTCCTCCCCCAGTGATCAGACTTCAACACTGTAACTTTGTAGCAAGTGTCCCTTTGATTTCGTTAAAGACCTGACAGGGCCCCTTTAAATGAAACGCTGTCATTTGTTGTTACATCAGCAGGGGATAAAACCATTGGAATTTTAAAAAGAATTAAAATCCCTTGTTGTGATGTCATCACTTCCTGTCCAGGCACCTTCTTGGGTGTCAACATGGCCGCCTCCTGTGTGTGCGTGGGTGGTGCGGGTGCCAAGTGAAATATTACTATAAAAGGCCAACATGTCAGGCCCGGGCTGCAGCCGTAATGACGGCTTATTTTACCCGGCAGGAAGCGTTTTTTTTAAAAGCATTTAAGT